AAACTAACTCGTAGGGAAATCACAAGTACATTGAGGAGCAAAGCTATTTTATTTCAATATTTCACGTATCAAGGCATTATACGAAGTTCAATGTTAAATATCAGATTTTATAGTTTTACCGTCAAATCAAATGACTGAGTGCAAAGGGTTAATGGTTTAGTATCACAGTAGTAATACGCTTTGATCTAGCTACTTATGTTACTAGATAGTTTTATTTAGAATCAAGTTTTTTATTGTAATTGTTCTTCAGCAATTTGGAAGCTCCGGTCATCAGTGACCACCGTGGCAGTCAACGTGTTAAACCGTCTTTTGAACATTTCTTTATGAAACCTGTACGCGTGAATTTAACAACATTTCGATTGGTTTATACTTCAGTTTAAGTGCTACTAAATCAGCTCTTTAACACATTGTACGTCATGGGGTCACTGGTGACCTCGATCAAACCGATTTACTTATAATTCATTCGATTAAACGATGATTATTTGAAAACTTTTCTATATTACAAGTAATACCTAATACAGTGACATTCAACAAGAGAAACCTGCGATAATAATAACGTAATTCAATTATATAAGTTGATATTATATTATTTTCAGTTTCTATATTTTTCTGGGGAAAATCGTGCGGCACTGAACATGTTAATCATTTCTTAAAGAAGCATCTGTACCTTTGCAGTCATTATGAAAGAAATTGGGAATTGATCATTTTGACTCATCTGGTAGTTCTAGTGTTAATTATTCAAATAAAAATACTTGTTTCTAGTATTTAAAACCGCGATGCATAACTGAGCTTTATGGAAAGTCCTCGAAAATTTAAACACTTCTCGTCAAAGGGTTAATTAATACAAATGTAAACTACTGATCTGCTGTTCCAATTATATCATTCCTCTCCGACTCAGTCTTCCAAATACCAGAATTTCATCTCGAAACATCAACGTTCGTTGAAGGGTTAATCAAAAAATTCTAAAACGAACCCTAGAAGGCTAAGCAACAATATCATTCGAATTCATCATTCAAACGTTGCCTTTAACACGATCTCTATTCAATCAATATCCAATCATCACGTCCAATTTCCGCGAACGATCGAAATACGCGCGTGAACACGTAGATTTTCGGCGGTGGCCGCGAGGTTTGCCAACAGGACGTTGGTTCTTCGACACGCAAATGACGAAAATGCGAAATAAACGCGCGTGGGCAGACGTTCGACGCGGAAACGGGCGGACAGCGAATCGAATTCGGCTGAGCAACCGTGCGAATCTAATAGGATTTATTGCGGCTTCGGGATGTAATAAAGTCCCGCGACAATACGTCGATGAAATATCATCTCGCTCGTTGGGGAGAGAACTCGAAAATAAACCGAATAACAAGAGCGACCGCGTAACCAACACCGGGTCCGCTATAATCTCCGAATTTACGCCGGAAATATGTGCATCGAATTATCATCGGTCGCGTCGCGCGCGCGCGCGCGAGCGTACACACAATGGCCGAGCGGTTCGGTTCTGGGATTTCGAAGAAAAACGATGAAAGAGGGATCTAATTGCACCAGACACGCAGGACGTTTCTATCAGTGACAGGAGGGACGGGGGGAGGAGGGATTTTAAGAGAGGAACGAGAGTGTCGTTCGTCGGGACAGGCGAAAAAGGAAAAGCGGAATTCCAGCGTGCCGGCAAGATATTTGTGTCATGAAATAACCCAGGAGACACAGCGTGGCTGTTTTCGTCTGCTCCTGGCAATGCGGGGAAAAGCGAATTCCACGAGTATTTTCACGCATTTGGAAGAATTCTTGGCAGTTCTTTTTAAGCGTCTCGAATATGTCTGCGCCGGGGCGCGTTCGGAACGGATTTCGGACGAGACCGCAGGAACATGTTAACGGTTAACAACCCCCGCGCTGTAATATGAATGAAACAAAAACATTCGACCAGCTGATTTTCCGTTTCGAAAAGTATCTCGTCGTGGAATTTTTCGATGACGGTTCGTTCCGGGGACGCGTTAAATACTGCTTGTTCCCGTTTGACACCTGTTGAGTCGCGACGCGGTGGATCCAGCGACCGGAAGTGATACGTGTCGTTTTAACACGTTGAATGCCACCGATGACCGGAGCTTCGAAGTTACGAGAAAATAATTATAAGATGTCAGATAAATATGTCCAGTAGTGTAACAAGGTAATAGCGTAACGTAAGAATTGTGATAGGAAATAATTAATAATTCATTTTTATTTTTCATAGGGAAAAAATTAGTGATAAAACGCTCTTGTTTTTCGTGGCAGTCAACGTGTTGATACGTTGAATGCCGCATGATTTCATACAGCAAAATACGCGAGGAAGATGTAATATTGAATTGTTATTGTTATCGCACGTTTATGTTGCTGAATGTTGATGCAGGTAATATTATTGATAATGTAGAAATGATTCAGTCACTTTAACCCGTGACTCGTGTTGAAAATTTTCACCTGGATTCAGCAAATCTGACCGTTGTTTATATAACTTGTGTATAAATGAAATATTACTTGTTTATTATCCATCTTTAACCTTTAGAGTAAACGTAGACACGGACTAAATATCAAATTTGTTTCTTTTTCTATGAAATTCTTAATGATAAGGTAGTTTAATCAAGCACAGTTGCGAAAGAAGTCATAAGACAAGAGGTTAATCAAGTGAATCATGGTAATTCGATTTGGTTGGGGGTCATCGGTGACCCCATGGCATTCAACGTGTTAAATATAATCTCAGAGGAGCAATAAAATATTGATAACAATCACGAGAGTCGTTGACGTTTAGGAAAATTATTGTTCGTGAGGACTCGAGTCAGTTTGTTAATTTACATAAGACGAGAATTGTCGATTAAGGGAAAATTGCAAGTGGAAAAAGAACAAGCATGTCCGACAAGGTGTAAAGGAAAAAAGTGCGATTTAATGTCGGACGAAAATAAGGAACCAAGAATAATAATTGACGAGGGACGCATCGCTAACGTAAAGCAGAGCCCAATAATTTACGGGCCGGGGCGAAAATAAACACTATCCTGAAAATAATGTTACACTTCTTTTTCTCACGCAGGAGAAAAGACCTAAACGTCTCGATAACCGATCAATGAAAACGAAAGTTTCTTTTCTCCTTTCAAATCGGGATAAGTGAAATTAGTGTGACAGTCGATTAAGCCATGTGATTTCTTTTTGGATTGCAATCGATTTAACTACGTTGTTATCAATAATTTATTAAGAATAAAAGAAAACTCCAGTCTTATTCTATGCCAACGTGTGCTCTAAGGTATAATCATTGATAACAGAGGAGTAATATGTAGTTTGCATTCAAATAAATTGAATAATATGGTGCGAATATCCAGTAATCTATTTTGAAATCCCTAATTTCCAAAATCCAAACTAACGAATACCAATTTTTCTAGGAGCAGTAGAATAAATTACAATAAATGACCGTACACCTAGTGTTAGATATGTTAGAAATAAAATATAAAATAATATCAGTTTTTCTAAAAATTCATAGTTACAATTATTATATTGTATAATCTATTCATTATATTATAATATTGTATATCTAATAATTATATATTAGAATTAATGATGCAATATTATTATATAATATTGTGTACCTAATAATTACATATTATAATTAATGATACAATATTATATATAATAATATATTATATATAATATTGTATATCTAATAATTATAAATTATAATTATTAGATTCTGATAAGTAACGCCTGCAACCCGACGTACACGACTGTGTGAAACCACTGTGTCACGGGACGAAGCGATCGCCATTGCGAACGCGGCTTAACGCGCCACGAAACGCCGGTTCTTTACGAT